CCCAAAACCCCAAAACCCCAAAACCCCAAAACCCCAAAACCCCAGGCTGCTTACCCACAATAAATAAAATATGGTAAACTTTATGAAAAGGATCGGTCTAAAAGTACTAGGGGTCTTCAGAGGTGCTGACCTATATGGGAAGACTATTACGTTACATTATAAAGGGGAAGGCACGTTCAAGACTTACTGTGGAGGATGTGTTAGTGTAGTGATATAATCTGACTCTGTTTGTTTTATGCTATTTTTCTTACAAGAGCCATGATTAGAAAGGAAGAGATAACATTTACTACTAACAATATTGTTAGGGATGTCTCTGTTGATCTAGATGCCCATAAGCCAGCTGAGAAAGGATTTTCTATTGCTTTTGGATTCAGAGACCAAGATCTTTCAGTCCTTAGTGATAATGCAAAAAGGTATTTCAAAATCTGGGCTAATCAATTTTCGAGACAATTACACAGCGATGGAACCATCACTCATACCAATACCGAGCTAGAACTTGTTGATTGTAAGGATCATTTCCCTTACTATAATAAAACGTTACTGTCAACCTTCAAAATCGATAATTTTGCGTGTATAAAGCCATTAGATTATGAGATCACTGGCAACGCCTACACAGACAGTGCTAAATATGTAGAGATTTTTGTACAGATATGAGACTTTGATGAGAGAAGCGATTGAGAATACTACGATATTATTGAAAATTTCCTCCTTAATGCGCCCTTTGATGTTGTGATGATTGATAGTTACTTTGATCTTGAGAATTATACAGACCCAGTTCAGACATATCTCGATAAGAAGGAATATTTTCTTACTCTTGGAACTAAAACTTCATCAACGATTACCATCAAAGAGAACAACATTGAGACATTTGATGATTACTCTCTTATCAAAGGAAAGAAGGATTACAAATTTTATTCAGTCGAAAGTGAAAGAAATTCTAGAATTATTACTCCTGGTGATTTGAGACTTGCAGAAGCGACTCTTCAGCTAGATCCAGGAATTCAAAACAACAAGAGAACTGTGTTCAATATCCTTGACTTGCTTTCAGGAATTGGGGGTCTATTCAGTCTTATCCAATCATTTGCAGGTGTAGTTGTAGGCATCTTCGCTGAAAAAATATTCAAGCATTCGGTCATATCTAAGCTGTACACTTGAGACATGGAAGAAGAGAAAAGTGACCCTGACAAACATAAAGATTCAAAGCTGCCGAGTGAGAGCGAACTAAATAATGAAGAGGGTTCTAACAGAAGATCATTGAATAACAACTCTGCTGAGGAGGGGAAGATAGAAGAAGAGAAAGAACCGAAAAATACCTCCAGAAAATTTGAAGAACAAAAGTGCAGTCAATTAACCAAAAAAAAACCAGGTGAAATTAGAAATAGTGGGTAAGAAATCTACAATCCAGACTCTGAGTGATGAGAAAGCAGAGATATTAATAGAGAAGTTGGCACAACGAAGAAGGTACAATTATAGTCCACTAGACTGGCTGTATGAGATCTTTTGTTGTTGAAAGACGAGAAAACTTTGAAGAAGGAAATATGAAAATGCACAACATTTTTCAAAAGGGTCTGATAAATATGATTTAGATTTGGATGTCGTTAACATTATCAGCAACATTCATCAGAGTAACACCATGTGGAAAGCTATTTTTGATGAAAATCAAAGAGCTTTAGGCTTGTACTCGAATGATAGGTCGGTTGGATGCATTGATGTGAGTATCAGGAGTCCCTTGAAAAATATCAAAGGTCTTAGATGTACAAATCTTTTAGAAGATAATGATGCAATTTGAAAGCTAGTACAAAATCTTAATAAGTCAGGAATTAGCCAAATTGATCTTGGATTGATTGATCAGATTGGTAGTTCTAAAATTTTATTTCAGAGTGACTCTCAAGACTACGGGGTTGCCAAGGGCTCGACTTATCAAACTCAAGGAAAGCATAAGAACAAGAAGGAAGCAAGTGAAATAGTCTCAGAAGATGACATCCAGCTCCAATTTGAGAGCAAAAATTCAATTGACAATGTCATTTTACCCAAAGAAACCCCACCTAACAGACAAGCAAGTCTGCTGCTTCAGGCTAGCCTGGCTCCAAACTTTTACAAAGATAAGGAATAAACCCGCCAAAGCTTCTTTCAATAGTAAAATATTATATCGGGGTTTTGGGGTTTTGGGGTTTTGGGGTTTTGGGGTTTTGGGG